TGCGGGGCGCGCTCACGCTGCCCTTCTCACTCCACCTGCGCCCCCCAACCGTCCTCGCGCCCCAGTAGATTCCAGCACGCCTCTGAGGTGTCACCCGGAGAGGGGGTGTCACTGCAACGTAGGGGATCCTAGGTCTCCACGCCTCCGCGCGCCTTGTGCTGGAGCGCATTCGGAGCCCGCGGGGTCGGAAAAAGTGCGGCCCCCTCTCCTGCCAAGGTGACCTCGGAGCGCAGCGGCAGCTCTACGAAGGGCGATTCGCGACCCTCCTCGGCCTCTGCAGACGCCCCAGTCCCGCGGCCGCGGGCGCTCAGAGCCTGCTCCTCTGGAGGGGCCCAGCTCCCCGGCGCCCCCTACTGGGTGCCCCTCCCCCGCTTCGGGGCGAGCCCCTCCTGCAGGCGCGTGTGCGAACTGCAGCGGCGCGAGAGTGGAGGGAGCGGCGTCCGGGCCCTTCTTTGGAGTGGGAACCGGAGATGGGACGCTCCAAACTGTCCCTTTTGGCGCCTTGCGCGGGGGCGCCGTGGTCGCCTCCACCGCAGCTCTCAGGACGCCAGCCTGGCCGCCTCCCTCCCCTGCCCTCCGCGCGTGGCCTACCTGTGGGCCCTGCAGAGGTCTCCAGCTCCGACCGAGCTCCGGGCGACTCCTCCTTGGGCTCCTGCTCCGGAGACTGCTTTCCTCCGGTTCTTCCTGCCCCTTCGCTCCCCAGCCTCTCTTGAGGAGAGGAAACTGAGCCGAGACCCCTGCCCCTCTTACTTGCACCTGGCATTCCGAATGCCAGTTCAGATGGGCAAGAAGGGGACACCCTGCATCTCTTGGCTGTGGGGCACTAGGCAGAGCGGCAAGCGCGCCAAGGCCCAGGAGAGGAGACCCCACCCCAAGAGGCCCAAATGGCAAACCGGTTTCCCCGCTTCCTGATCTGCTACCCATTGGCAGCCTCCGCAGGGCCCTCCCGCCTTCCCGGCCGCCCGCAGGCCTGCCTCCAGCCAGCGCAAGCCCGGCCGGGGGCAAGGTCCCAGTGCCCCTCAAGAGCGAGGTCCAGTTGCGGCGCTCAGGTGGCCCAGCCGGGCGGGAGGACCAAGGAGGGGGCCTTCCCTGCTCCAGCCCGACGGCCCAGGAGGGCAGCCAAGAGCTGTCCCTGCCACACCGTCTGGGCACACGACCGCAGCAGTCGGCACCCTGACTTCCCCCCTCCTGGGCCAGCTGCCTGTCCCTCTGCCAACTGGACGGTGCCCGTCTTTTGGCCTCTGAGCGCACAGTGGGCACCCATCCAGCTCCCCGCCTGGCTGCCAGCCCAGGATGAGCATGGGAGGCGGCAGGCCCTGTGCAGGGGAGGGTCACAGCGGGTAGGAGTACTGACGCCACCGCCCAAGCCTCCTGGAACCCGGAGCTGGGGCACCAGCACACACCCCCCTTCTATCCAGCCCCCAGCCCCACCCCATTCAAGCACCCCACAGCTCAGATTCCCCAAAAGAGGAGATCTACCCCCCCACTCTCCTACCTAAGGGGAAAGGAATCACCCATGCCTACTAACGGCCGTTTCAACCACACTTTAGAAGTGGGCATTTTCAGCCCCAGCGGAGCCTGGGAGAATATAAGCAACTGAGGTTGAGATATGAGACTTGCCAAGGTGAGATTGGACCCCGAGTGCCTGACTCCGAGGCTCCCAGCCTAGCTGCTGCTGCTGCTTTTTCTTTTTTTTTTTTTTTTTTTTTTTTTTTTTTTTGTCTTTTTGAGACAGGGTCTTGCTATGCAGTTCAGGCTGGTCTTGGGCTCACTTTGTAGCCCAGGCTGGTCTCAAACTTGCAACAATCTTCCTGCCTCAGCCTCCCGAGTGCTGGGATTACAGGCGTGCGCCACCATGCCCTGCTCAGCCCTGCTTCTGTCACCGTTTTATCCGTGGTGCCCTGGGCTGCCAGAAGCAGGGACAGCCCTGGCTCGGCACAGCTCATACCACACAGTGGCTGGCTTGGGGTTAGGGTGAGCTGGGACCAGGATACAGCTGAGTTAAGAGGGGCACTTCTGTCACAACTAAGGACAAGGTCCCTTAGATGACAGCCGGAAACACTTGTCCCCAACACACAGTGCCCGGGGGCCCCCACTGGTGCCCTTGGCCGTAAGAAAGGAGCCAGCTTTGAGCAGGAGCCAAGACCCCCAGGCCCCAAGGTGACAGAGGGGAGATGGCCTGGCACCATCTGCTCTTGGGGACCCCGTCTCATCCTCTGCTTGTCCCCCAGCAAGACCTGTGCCTTTGCCCTGTTCCACCAGACCAGGGGCTCCAGGGGGAGGGGGTGGTGATGCCACCTCCCGATCAGGCGCTGCTTCCCCAGCAGGGAGAGGAGGGCTGTTCCTGGAAGTGGGCATGGTGCCCAGATATAGCCAGTGTGCCAGCTGCCTCCACCTGCCACACCTTGGGTGTGCCCACCTCCTCTGCCACCCCACCGCAGGTGACTCCTCCTCCCTGCCCCACTACCAGTGCCCCTCGCTTTGCCACTGCCTGCCCTGCTCAGACCCTGGGTGCCTACAGGATGGGGTACAGGCAGCAGCCCCCAGGCCAGAGCCTTTCTCTTCTTCGTGAGACAAAACAGGGACAGGGGTGCCATGGGCAAACATGGGCAAGAAAAAGAGATGGTGCAGGGGGTGGGCTCAGAGGAGCATAGGAACCTTAAGGGGAGGAGCAGGGGACGGGGACATGTGGAGTCATGGCTGGGACCCTCATCTGCCCACTGCACTTTCTTCTCAAGAAAGTCCCACTGGGGCGTGGTGGTACATGCCCATAATCCCAGTACCCAGGAGGCTGAGGCAGGAGGATTGCCGTGAATTCAAAGCCAGCCTGGGCTACAGTGAGCTGAGGCCAACCTGGACTATGTGGTGAGACCCTGCCTCAAAAAACAAAAAGCAAACAAACAAAAAAGAAAGTCCCTGTTTGGCTGGGCATGGTGCTGCACCCCTTAATCTCAGCACTTAGGAGGCTGAGGCAGGAGAATTTTTGTGAGTCCACGGCCACTTTGGGCTACATAGTGAGTTCAAGGCCACCCTGGAATACATAGCAAGACCATGTCTCAAACAAACCAACAAAAAAGTTCCTGCTTAACCAGGCATGGTGGCTCACACCTAAAATCCCAGCATTCAGGAGGCTGAAGCAGGAGGATCACTGCAAGTTCAAGGCCAGCCTGAGCTACATAGTGAGACCCTGTCTCAAAAAAAATAAGAACAGCCAAACATGGTGGCACACACCAGTAATCCCGCACTGGGGAGGCTGAGGCAGGAGGATTGCTGTTAGTTCAAGATCAGCCCAGGCTACAAAGTGAGCCCAAGGCCAGCCTGAACTGCACAGCAAGACCATGTCTCAAAAAGCCAAAAAATAATAAAAAAATAAAAGTCCCTGCTTGCCTGGCTGGGACATTTCATGTGTCCCAGACATTTCATCTGTGTTCTACCAAGGGTAGCTAAAGACCCTGAAGGCCCTGGGCCTGGCTTGTTCTGGGGACAGTGATTGGGCGCTGGGACTTGCTGGGCGCGGCCTGGGTTCCTCAAGCCCCTCACGTTCCTCTGCCTGGATCCCGGGCTCCCAGCCCACAAGAGAGGAGTAAGTGACAGTAAATTTCAAAAGACCCTGATTCCCTGGGGTCCCCCTGCTTGTTACTGTGATGAATGAACAAGGGTGCCCTCATTAGCACATTAGACTGCTTTCTAAAGAATGGGCAAAGAAAGGAGGGGTTCTTTGGGGCCTGGCTCCCTGCAGGGCTGCATCCTGCAGAGAGAAGCCCGGATGGCAGCCGTGTCTCCCTGTGCCCGCCTTGTGGGGAGGAGTCCTCCTTCCTGCCAGGTGGACAGGGCCCGCTGTCTCTCCCACCAGGCTGGCGGTGCTGTGCCCCCTCCATTAGGCTGGGGCCCCCTTGCGGCAGGGCAGAGAGTGTCAAGCGTCCCTTGAGACTTGCAGGAGGAGGGATGCTGTCCCCACAGGTTTCTGACAATAAGTTTGAGGAGGGACCTGAGAATCTGAGTTTCTAGCAAGTTCCCAACGCTGCTGCTGGCCAGGGCCACGTCTGGGGAACCAGGCGGGGACTCGTCCTTGCTGCCCCCGCTGGGGACCTCCCGGAAGGGTGGCTTCACCTGCGGGAAGGTGAGGCAGGGCCCGCACCCGGGGGCCTTTGGTGCCACAGGAAAGACCCTTGTTTCTCTCCTCCCCTACGCCTCAGCCAAACACAGCCCCTGCCACCACGAGCACCCAGACCAGTACCCCTGTCTTGACTTTGCCTTCAGATGTCCTAAAGAGGTGCCATCACCCTATGCCCATGCTAGAAGGATCCCCGCCTGGGGGATGGGGAGGATGGAGGCGTGCTTGCTATCCCCCTAGGATGACCTCCGGGGCCTGGGAGAAGGCCTGCAGTCCATCAGCACGCACGCAGCTGGCACCTCCTTCCCTCCTGCGCTGTACTCTAGGCAGAAGAGCTGCCTTGAGCTGAGCCAGGAGGTACACTTGTAGCTCCAGCTACTCAGGAGGCTGAGGCAGGAAAACCACTGGAGCCCAGGAGTTCAAGGTCAGCCTAAGCCACATACCAAGACCCTGACTAAAAAGATTGATTTGAAAAAATTTAAGGAGACAGTATACAAAATCAGTATTGAAAATCTAGGCTGGGTGTGGTGGCACACACACCTGTAATCCCAGCACTCAGGAGCCTGAGGCAGGAAGATCGAAAATCCAACCTGGGGAATTTAGTGACTTAGCAAGACCTTGCCTTCAAATAAATAAAAAGTCCTGGGAATATAACTCAGAGTGAAGGTCTTGGGTTCAATGCCCAGTAACCACCATTTAAAAAAAAGTCAAAATTTTCTATACACCAAGAATGAACTAGCTGAGGAACAAATCAGAAGACAGGTGCGGGCACACACCTGTAATCTCAGCACTCAGGAGGCTGAGCGAGGAAGATCGCTGCAAGTTCAAAGCCTGAGGTACATAGTGAACTCAAAGCCAGACTGAATTAGAGAACAACCCTATATTAAAAACCTATTTTAAAAAATCAGGGAACTGGGTGTGGTGGCACACGCCTGTAACCCCAACACGCAGGAGGCTGAGGCAGGAGGATCACCGTGAGTTCAAGACCAGCCTGGGCTGCAAAGTGAGCTCAAGGCCAGCCTGAACTGCATAGTGAGACCCTGTCTCAAAAAGATCCTCCCAACAAAAAAAATCAGGAAGACAGGTACATACAGGAAATAATTAAAGTCAGCATACTCTAGGGACACCTACATACCCATGTTTATCACAGTACAATTCATGATACCAGAGATATGGAACTACTCAGGTGCCCATCAACAAATAGAGGGATTAAAAAAAATGGAGGGATAAAAAAATGTGGCACACATGTAAACAATGGAGTGTTATTTGGCCACAAAGAACAAAATCATGACATGGGAAAGGAAATGGAGTTGGAGACCACCAGGGTAAGTGAAACAAGCCAGAGTTAGAAAGATGGTACCAAGTAGCGCACATTTCCCTGATATGTATACTCTAAAGAGAAAGAGAGACCATTATTGGATAAGAGGAAGGGGGCTGGGTAGGAGGAGAGGATAATGAATGGGGTAAATATGACCAAAATGTTTCATCTAGGGGGCTGGGGACTCAGCTCAGAGGCACAGCGCCTGCCTGGCAAGCACAAGGTCGTGAGTTCAATTCCTGGTACTGGAAAAAAACAAAACAGAACATAACAAAATGTTTCATCTATGTGAAAACACAATGAAATTCAATATTTTATAAAATTAATAGACTTTAACTTTTTTAGTCTTTTTGAGGCAGGGTCTCACTATGTGGTTCAGGCTGGTCTTGAACTCGCTTTGTCGCCCAGGCTGGCCTTGAACTCGCAACCATCCTCCTGCCTCAGCCTTCCTAGCGCTGGGATTACAGGCGTGCACCACCACAAGCCCAGCTCCTGCCCATCAAACCCAGTGTGGCTCTGAGGCTCATGATCTCACTGTCTGACCCACACATTTTGGCGCAAAGGAAAAGACATCCCTCCTGCTCCAGCCTGGCCTGAAGACGGCCTGGCGAACTGGCCATGGGCCTGGGGACAGCAGGCCTCACCACTTACCCCAAGGGCACCTGCTCTTGATCTCCAAGGTAGGCAGGCACCTGGTAGCCTCTGACATTGGTGGCGGGAATGTAAAGTGGTTTAGCAGCTCTGGAAAAGTTTGCCGAGGCC